TAATTTTTTAAAATTAATTTTACATGATTATTATCCAAACACATAATAAAAATTAATTTGGTAAAAAATAAATAAATATCTACAAGATTTATCAATTTTACATAATTTTATTTTTAGTGAGTAGAAATAATTTTTAAAAATTTAAAAATATTTGTTTGACATTTATTTTTATCAAATTAGTTTATATTTGATAAAATTGACAATTTTACCCTTAAAAAATCTAATGATATCTTCAATTGTCCTTATTACAAGATTCAAAATTCAGGATCAAATGTGTTACAATTGAAAAATCAAGGACCAAAGTGACACAAGCCCCAAACCATAAAGACTATTAGTATAATTCATTATTAAATTAATTATCAGAGGAGTCGCTCAATGGGTCAATCGCTTCATGATATTCAAATTAGTGATCTACATTTCTAAAATAATGTTTATCACCACTTAATTTGCCACTCGAGTAACCCTTGGGTAAGGGTCCTCGATCATGATTTTTTTTTCATGATTTTATCACAGCATTGACACATTTGCAAATGATATAATCCAATGGTCTATATTTGAAATTTCGCACAATGGTACTAGTCTCCATTTGAGATCATGTTATTTTAATTATTTTTTAATTTTTTTGTTAAAATATGAGATAAAAAAATTAGTGTGTTTAGAATATCTTTTTAGTTTTTTATGAAAAAATATGTAAAAAGTAGAAAGAAAAGAGAATCTTTAAGTTTTTAGTATAAGTTGCTTTTTTAATTTTTTTTTAATAATTTTTTGACTTTTAGGCTAAAATAGTGAGTTGCCAAACGAGACTTAAATGTTTTTTAAAACTGAACACACCCAAAATGATGCAGTTTTGCTTCATCCCAGCATCCCTGCTTCATCTCTGTTTCGGACTTTTATTGGTATTGGGGTTGTTTTGATAATGTAGGATTCAATTTCAACAAGAAATTTTGAATTTAAAGTCCATAAATTTAAAGCAGTAGGACTTGTATTTCTCCATGCAGAGTCCTCCTAGGATTCATACTCCCAAGGATAATGCTTATCCTTTTACACCCTCCCCCACTGCTTAAACCAGGTGGGATGGTTTTCTCCATGGCCGAACTACCACATGACCGAAATAACACTGGCTATGCTGAGCCATATAGAAGGTCGAACTATCCTTAGCTCGGTCTTCTCTACTAACTCATTACTTCGGCTGCCCTTGTTCAACCTTGGTGCGTTTAGATCAAACTTCCAAGTAGCAAGTTCTGACTGACCTAGCCAGAGTATGTCATGACCGGACTAGCTCCGAAGCCGGTCTTCCCAGAGCATACTGCGACCGGACTAACTCTAAGACCCTACTCCGAGTACTCCGAAGCCGGTCTTCCCAGAGCATACCGCGACCGGACTAACTCTAAGACCCTACTCCGAGTTGTCTCTGGACCGGAGTAGAATTACTCTTCCTTGGGCCGAAGCAACTATCTCTTCTTGAGCCGGAATAAACTCACCTCCTTGGGCCGAAGTAACTTTGTCTCCCCAAGGCCGGAGTATTCAGTACGCCCTTTTTACCTAGTCCTCTGCGCTTTGGGCCTCAAAACCCAACTCGAAGCTCGGCCCAATTTTCCCAAAAATTACCCTCTCAATATATATTAATAATTAATGTAACACTTATCATCTTTTTATATTACGTTCAGTTACTATTTTGTATGACACATTCATAATTGTTAAATATTAATCATTATGTTTGGTTTGAGTTTTTTGGATTAAATTTTTTGAAAATTGACTTTTTTAGTTTTTGTGTTTTTTTATTTTTAGTAAATATTTTTTAAATTTTAAACATTTTTTTACTTTTTTAGATGCACCTTACTTAGACTTATCTAAAAAGTAAAAAAAATTTATAAAAAAATATTTTAAAAAATTAATAAATACATAAAAATACAAAAAATATATTGAATTCTTGTATTTTTTTTTGTATTTTTGGTATTTAATGAATTTTTAAAAGATTTTTTTTACAATTTTTTTACTTTTTAGGTGTATTTATGTTAGATGTGTCTAAAAAGTAAAAAAATTACTGAAAATATTAAAAAAATTCAGTAAAAATAAAAAAACACAAATAATAAGAGAGTAGAATTTTTTGAAAAGTATTTTGGAAAACTGAAAACCAAGCAAGGCTAGAATTCATGCAAGACCTACTGCATCAACTACTGTACATGTGGATCGTAAACTAGTAGTAGTATAACAATACAGTGAGTGTAAAATGTTGTTAATATATAAAATTTCTGTAATTTAAGAGTAGAGCGGGTTTAGTTGGGTGCACTACAACATATAAGAGTTTTAGAAACTAAATGTTTTGGTCTTTAAAAGTGAAAATTTTGTTGTAAAAGACATTTAAGGACCGATTTTCATTGTCATGAGGATAGTTGTTAAAATATCGTCTCGAAAAGTTAAAAATAAGAATTTTAGCGATAAAATTTTAAAAATGTCACTAATAATTTGGTCTCAAAATGGTTTATTTTTTGAAACAAAAAATTTGATCCCAAAAGTATAATAATTCATCACTAATATCTAATTTTTGTTGCTAAAAATATAATAACGACACTTTTCACAATAAAATTATTTAGTCCCTAAAAAATAATTATCCCTAAATTTTTGTCTCTAAAACTTTGATTTTTTGTAATGGTGGGTTGGGTGCCTTCTTCAACATTGTTGTCCTCTTTTTTACTTTCTGTAATGGAATCGAATTACAGATATTAATAACATTCAACTATTGGGTTTTTTATTAAATTATGCAACTCAATACTTAATGGTTGAGTCCAAAAGCATGACTTTATGTATACGTAACGACGCGCACATAAAAAATGGTACAAATGGGGCACAAATGCTATGATGGCTATTTTTTGTACTGAATTAGCTTAGCGTTTAATAACATATTATTATTGCATTGGTGGAGTGAATCTCATATTTATATTGAGGGTGTTTGTTTCAACTTTTTAAAGTTAATTTATGACTTTTAGCTTTAAAAAAAATTATTTTAGACTATTTAGTTAAATTTATTTCAAACAGTTTCTGATTTTAACAGCTTATTTTAACTTAAAAAAGTTGATTCTGAGAAGTTGCTCACTCTTTGTTTCTGATTATCAGCTTTTGCTGTGGACATGTTAATTTATGATTATACTCTTAGATTTTTTTATTTTTTATTTTTTTAAAATTAGAAAAAGACTTAAATGGACTATGGATTATTATTATTATTATTTTTTATGAAAAATATAGACAAACAAAAAATAAAAATTAATTGAAAAAGTTATTTCACAGCTTATTTAACAAACACTACTCAGTAACTTAAATCTATAATCTAACAGGTACACTAAACAGATTAACAATTTCTGATTAAAGTTATAATCTATAATCTGTTAAGGTATAATTTATAAACTATTCTAACAGTTACACCAAACGGGCCATTATATGATATAAAAAAATATGATGAGTAAATTTAATATAAAATTTGATAGTTAATAAGTAATAGACGAATTTACAGTTGTAACTTGATAAAATGATTGCAGCAAAAGAGCCATTCCATTTTTGTCGTATGTAGCATTTGAAGTGACAAATACATATATGAGCATAGAATCTCAACAAAAACAATGGGGTCCTACTAAAGAAAAGATTGCTCCTACTACTAGGTATGAAGTATAATATGAAGAAATATATATATATATATATATATTTACAAAAGAATAATTACAATGATTTATGATTGGTTGTTTGGTTCAAACTTTTTAACTAGCTTGGGAGAAGTAGATTTATTATCGTGTTATCTGGATCTTTTTCTTCTTCTTTTTAAATTAAAAGTTGATTGATTTTTTTTTTTTTTTTGTTTAGTTGAAAGAAGTATGAATCAAACCAGACTTTATTAACAATGCATTAAGAAAATTCAGTGAGAACACAATTTAACAATGATCTATAATAGAAAATCCCACATACGAAACATGCTAGAAGTCATCAAGTCATTGGTCCATAGTTTGATATTTGGTTTTGAGCCAGTTGGGGTCCCCTGGGGGGCATCTCTTTTCCCCCAAGTGAATTGACTTCTTGTGGGTGTGATCATTGAAGCTCAGGGCATCTACAAAACAATTGATTCTCATCATAATAAATAAAGTAAAATATGACCCTCTTTTTTGTTTTCTTTTTTTGCAAAAGGTTTTTGAAATCAAAATAAATATCTAGCAATTTGATCAGTTAATTTGATAGGACAGAAGAGTGACGGTACCCATCCAAGCGATTGGATCTGTTTCCTAATTGCAATTCCTGTCTTTCACTTTGCTATTGAAGGCTACCTTTCTCAAGCCCCATTGCTATGCCTAGTGTTCAATGTCACACAAAAATCCAAACTAGGCAAGGGGTCATTCTTGCAATTAACTCAAACCCAAAATGCACCCTACTGGGAATCTTGGGTGACATTATATGCTTCCTAATCCTAAAAAGTATAGATTCTCAACAGAAGGGACAGCATTATGGAACCTGGAATTAGTAGTACAAAAGGAAAAGAAAAATGCGAAATAAAACTTCAAACATAATGAAGAAAAAAAAGGGTTTATTCTTACGGTTTTTATGTTTACACTACCAAAACTAAACCATCATAGTTGAAAATTGCAAAAGCACCAAAATATGCAGGGCATCCTTTATATGAGTCCACAAATTTAGTAGCTTCATAACCTGTTTTTACCAACAAACTTGGGCGAAAAGGGATTATTGACAGCAACATGAGATTCTCTCAGAAGAGGAAACCACACCAATCTTGAGTTTTAGTACCAGTAAAAATGATAAAGGTCATGTGATCAAACTAAAAGCTATGAATTTAAAAGAATAAATTTGTGCTGCTATGCTACCCAGAATATTAAAAGCAAGTGCCAACTGACTGCAAGAGCTAAAACAGAAAGCATTAACAAAAATTCAAACAACAAACTTAAAACTCCTAACAAAACTACAATTTTTCTAAATCATGCACTAAATCAATTCGTTTTCTGGCCAAAGAATGTCTTTATATCATATAGATGGAACTTTGTAAGAGACAGCTTACCACAGTATAAACCTACAAAGCAAAACTACAACCAAAACCATTGCATAGTAATGTATTCATTGGATCACATTATGCTTTCATTTACAATATAGACACGCTACTTGATTTTCATAAGAGTTTTTTTCGGTGAGATATCTTCTACCTTACAATCCTTGTGATTGGCCACATCTTTCTCGCAATTCCTACTAGTTTTGTTGTTCTGCTACATCTTTAAATCCAACTCCAGCGCCATTAATCTCCCAATTTAATTAGAAAAACATTTTGTATTGCTTCTTAAACATCCCAAAGGCGAAACAAGACTCTCCACATGAGAAACTGCTTCAAACCAAGAAGGAAGCCCAGCCATGCTAAGCCTCCTAAAGTGCATGGTATGCCGATTATAAGAAAGAAGAGTGTGATTATTATACAGCATTATAATTTCGCCATCTTTCTGAGCACACAGAACTTGAATATATCTCAAATTCAACCCAACCCCATTGAAATTTATGATGAAACCCCTTTCCCAAGAATCTGTCACATTGTGATCCATCATAATCCATACAACAATACAATTGTAAGCAGAAAATTCAATTACAGCAAGAAAGCCACTCAACACCACCAAAGAATGAGCACCCTCTTTGAGCCCAATTGCGGGGCTGGGAATTTCTTGGAACACTTCATCTGCGACATCGAAACAAATAATGGTGTGGAAAAAAGACTCAATTGTCCAATGAAGAACACCATTAAGAAATGCTCTTAATCTGGAATCACCCGTAATCCCAAGAGGAGGAATGCCTACATATCTCCAAGGCCCACCACCCAAATTATACACAAAAGCCCCAGAAATCTTTTTCACAATATGATCACCATTCAATAGCTTTTCACGGTTATAGAGAATCACTACTACTTTATATTGACTGGTCTTGGGGCTAAAACCAAATCCCCCAAACACCACATTGACTAAATACTTGGTCTCAAACACAGTGATAAACTCGGGAATCTTGACAAGATCACCAGTACATGGGTTGCAGATAAAAATAGACTTTGAATTCAGGCGATGGACCAAACAGAGCAAGCCATTACATGAACCCATGATGCGAAACTCGTCGAAATTGGGTTGTGAGAAGCGAATATTGTTGCAAGAAATGAGTTGGGAATCGGTCAAGTACAGTTGGGTGCGGAAGTGGGTGGTGATGATTGTTGTGGTGAGGATGAGACTTGGGTTTTCTTGAGAGGACCGATTGAAATGCAATTTGATCAAGTAAGGGTTGTGGGTTAAAGAAAGCCAAGATTTGGAAACACACCTGAATCGAATCAAGGATTTGATGGGGAGTCTGGAGAGTATGTCCTCCATGATTTCGTTAGGAAGATTAGCCATTTCTGTTTTCTGTGCGTGTGCGTGTATTCCAGAAGAGAAAGAAGAAGAAGAATAATTGAATGAATATATAAATAAAGGCTGTTTTTTGGGTAGGTAGGTATTCAAGTTAAAAATCTCCCGCCAAGTTACATACAAAAATTAAATGGGGCCATATATAATGTACAATTATGGTATGGCAATAAAATTTTTTGGCTAAAAAAATTACTAGAAATCCGTTAGAACATCTCCATCAAAATTAGTTATTTTTATTTTTTAATTAAAATAGTGAATAAATTATCAAATTTTAACTCCATCAAACTAATTATGAAGTTAGTTATTTTAATTTTAGTGATTTTAGCTCAACAAATGTAGTTAGTAGTTTTGACTAGTCAAATTTTAAAATTTTTATTATTTTAAAGTTACTTGTATTGAGTTTACAAAAGATAATTTAAAATAAAAATAATATTTGAATAACACAAGCAAAGAATAGAGAGTTTGTTGAAAAGTATATTAAAAAAGTGTATAGCCAAAATACAAAAATTAACTTTTGAGCTAAAATATAATAAAATTTTAATAGTTTGATGGGAATGTCTCACATCATGACATTATTTTTTTATTTTATTGTTTTCTTATCCTAAGGACAATTATTAGGAAGAATTTTTTTAAAAAAAATCAAGCTGAGAAAGTGTCTGTTAATAAATGGTTTAATGCTTTAAAATATTGGGAAAATTGTAATTCAGTTGAAAGATAAAAAAGAAAAAAAAAATGCAATTCAATGATAAAAGCTTATCAACTTTAATAATTGAAGTGATAAACCTTCTGATTTGTAATTTTTCCTAAAATATTCGACTATTACTCCATAATTAATAATTTTTATGACATTTCTCACTTTTTTGTTATGTAGAATTCTCATTTTATGCGAGAAAGGATAAGCCATCATGATACGCCTTTTACGCACGATACAAAGTCCAACTAATTAACCGAGAATTATCAAAAAGAAGAGGATTCAAAGAGTCTTGGATGGGCTTGTTGGATCCACTACACGGCTACACGATTTCACTTTCGCGATTTGAATTGTTCATTACATAAAACTTAATATAAATCTCCCATAATAATAATTACACAATTTCATTATATTTATTTTGAAAAAAATGAATGATTTATTTTTTAAATTATATTTGTCCATTTATTTTTAAATCTATCTCAAAAAAGAATTACCGCCAAAGTGCAATCTTTCTTAGTTCCCAAACACATTAAAATCTATAGTATCAAACAACTAATAGAAAGATCGGACTTAGCATTAAACTATTTTGGTAGACCTTATGCTAATTTTTGTTTTAAACAATAAAAAAAATAAAAAATTAATATGTACGTTTCCTTTTAATCCATGAAGAGTGTTCAATTATCAACCAGGAAAACTAAAATGGGATTTGTTCAAAAAGAATGTGAAAATAGTTTGTATTTACCAACATGATACAGAGGTAGTGAAATCCCAATGCAGCCCATCAACCTTCATGCCATGAGTCTCTTACACCATACCTCTGGCTTGAGTGTCCCATCCCAATAGCAATGGCTGACTCTGTTTCTTAAGATTATGATCTGTGTCTTCAACTCAAACAAGCTAGTGCCACCAGCAGCTTCTTCAAACAGAGTAGGGACTCTAGAGGGCTGGTTTGGAGAAGCACCTTTGCTTCATGTTCTATCACTGCCTTTGTGCTCAATGACACACTAAAATACAAACTAGGCAAGGAACCATTCTTGCAATTAACTCAACCCCGAAATGCACCCCAATTACAAGTTATGAATCCCTAACAAAAGAAAAAAAATTGTTGAAATAATCGAGTACCTCCATTCCAAGGCTTTGTATGGAACTTGGAATTAGTCGTTAAGAAAAATAAAAAAATAAAAAAGGAAAAGGAAATGCAAACGAAAACTTCAAACACAATGCAGATAAAAGGTTATTTTACAGTTTTTATGTTTAAGGCAACAAAACTAAACCATCATTGTTGCAACTTGCAAATGTGCCAAAATGTGCAGGGCATCCTTCATCTGAGTCCACTAATTTAGTAGTTTCATAACCTGCTTGGACCAACAAACTTGGGTGGCAAAGGAATTATTGACAGTGGCTGAGAGATCCTCAACCACACTAGCATTGAGTTTTGGTACTGTTAATATATTTTATGTTAGTGCTTTAGGCTTTAGATTAGTGCCTTTACTTTCGGTTAGTGGATCCACTTTTGGCATGATGATGTTTGTAATTTTCTCTCCTATATAACGGAGAGTGTACCTCTTTATTCATATAACATTCAATACATAAATAAATCAATACATCAATTAATAATACATCAGTTTATTTACAGGTACCAAGAAAATAAGTAAAATGATGTTCATGGGACCGGACAAAAAGCTTGCCAGTTTAAAAGAATAAAATTGTGTCATTACCCATTTTCTACAAGGAAGTCGACTATGGATGTTAAAATTGTGTCATTACCCAGTTTAAAAAATAAAATTGTGTCATTACTCAGCATATGGATGTTAAATTCAGGAAAAGTAACAATCGAGCACCAAGATAGCTACCAGAAAATTAAAAGCAGGAGATGAGACAAAACTGCAAGCATTAACAAAAACCCAAATAGTAGTCAATTTAAAACTTCTAACAAAACTATAATTTATCTAAATCATGTCCCCAACTTAGTATATAAATTAAAGACTCAAATCAAGTCATAGAAGTGAAATTCAATGATTGCAATAAAAGAACTATTCCATTTTTGTTGTATGTGGCATTTGAAGTGACAAATCCATGCATAAGCATAGAATCCCAACAAAAACAATGGGGTCCTACTAAAGAAAAGACTGCTCCTTTTAATAGGTATAAAGGATGAGAAATGTATTTTTTTTATACATATAAAAGAATAATCATAATGATTTAGGCTTGGTTTGAATCACACTTTTTAGCTAGCCTTCGATAAATAGGTTTATTTTCGTTTTATTTGGATTTTTATGTTTTTTTTGACAAAAGGTCTGAACCTGACCAGGCCTTTTTAACAATGTATTAAGAAAATTCAATGAGAGCACAATTTAACTATGATCTATGATAGAAAATCCCACACATGAAACTTGCTAGAAGTCATCAAGCCATTGGTCCATAGTTTGATATTTGGTTTTGAGCCAGTTGGGGGTCCCCTAGGGGCATCTCTTTTTGCCCAAGTGAATTGACTTGTGGGTGCGATCAATTGAAGTGGAGGGCACCTAGAAAACAATTGATTCTCATCCTAATAAAATAAGTAAAATACAATTTTTCTTTTGATTAGTTAAATCAATTGGATCCAATTCAACATAAATATCTCACATTTTGATCAGTTAAATCAATTGGATCCAATGCAATTGGAACTTATTCAACGAGAGAAGTGTATTAGATCAAGTAAATCAATTGGATCTAATTCAACATAAATATCTCACATTGTGATCAGTTAAATCATTTGGATCCAATTCAACATAAATATCTCACATTTTGATCAGTTAAATCAGTTGGATCCAATTCAATTGTTACTCATTCAATGAGATGAGTGTATTTTCAAGTTCAATCAATCTGTTTTTAAATAGGGTTGAAAAATATGAAAGGTGATATATTAACATTGTAACTCGACTTAAGTTTAAAGGGTTGATTGTTGTTACAATTAAAAGTAGAAATGTCAAAATGAAAACTTAGTAATAGTGGAGTGCTAAATATTAATAGAATGTAGAATGTTGCATTGCACTAAAGACATCAAGCCGCAAACCTTAATTAATAAATTCCCTTTTCAGCAAAACAAATTAATTTATTTGATCATTGTTTTAAAAGTAACTTGCATCAACTTCACTATAGATGGGGATAACAAAAAATGAAAGAAACAAATAAAGCAAAAACCACTTCTTGGAAATGCACTCTTCTTCTACATCATATAAGCAACTAAGGGTGAAAAGGGCAGTAGTTGTACCTAACTTTGAAAGATGATTAGAAAGCAAAAGATTGGAAAGTGTATTGTCTGTAAGGGCTGTAATTTGGGCAGGTTCAAACCGAACATCCTAAGTCTATCCCAAAATTTTGACACCTTAAAACGAAATCAAGTTGATGTGCACCCTTATGCTGAAGCATAGTCATTCAGAATCATGTTTTCAGCTTCAAGTGTTTTGTGTTTGGCTCCTAATTGACCTTATTATTGATATTGACATATTACAGATACCATCATATTTTTTCCTCTCAGAACTGTTCAACAATCCTGCGCTTACTCAGAAACACAAGGACTACCCTTCGGCATAAATCCCTCTGCAATCAACCCTGGTGTCCTTAAGAACAATAGCTAGCTCATATACCTAAAGAGCTTGTTGCTTTCTTGGTTGGTTTGCAACCCATACAAACCAGTGAACAACAGACTGACAGTCAAATAGATGCATCATTGTTATTCATGGGCTCATCAAACATCTAAAGGGGAGCAAAACATAAAAGTTCCATGAAACACACAATAAGTTGATCTTCTATGTTTTGAGTGTTTGGTTATGATATTCAAGTGATAATCTGCATTCTCAAATTAATAAAAGCAGCTCCAAAAACACATAGCAAGCAATGTAAGCTTCTCTTTAGGTGCCTAATAGTAATGGCTGAATCTGTGTTTCTTGAGAGCAGGATCAGCCTTCAACTCAAACAAGCTAGTGCCAGCAGCTCCATGCGATAGAGAAGGTCAACAGACTGTTTAGTGAATGGAGCTACCTGATTCAAGCGATTGGATCTGTTTCCTAATTCCAATACCCATCTTTCACTTTACCATTGAGGGCTTGCTTTCTCAAGCCCCATTGCTTCATGTTTTATAGATGCCTACTGTTCAATGCCACACCAAAATCCAAAGTATGCAAGGGACCATTCTTACAATTAACTCAACCCTGAAATGCACCCTACTGGGAATCTTGGTTGCCCCATATATACATGCTTCCTAAAAGGTAATGGATTCACAACAAAAGGAACAACGTTGTTGAGATAATTGCATACCACCATTCTAAGGCTTTGTATAGAACTTGGAATTGTTGAGTTCACTCATTTGGATAGAGGTAGCCACCATTGTTGACATTGGTTGGCACAAATGTAGAGAAGCCACCGATTGTTGATAATGGTGAGAGAGGAGTTAGGGAGACAAGCCGTCATAGGGAGGTAGCAAGCCATGCCTTCACATGGGAAAGCTATGGGATGTTGTCTTCAACTTCCTCTATATATTTGAGTTAACTTGCAAGAGGAAAAAATATACAAGAAAGGAATAACACAAGTGATTTATAAGAGAGTGTATATCTCTGTGAGAATGAGAGAAAAACCAGAGAGTGTAAGGCAGTAGAGAGTGTTTGAGTTGAGTGAGAGTGTCTCTTCCTCTGTGTAATCTCTATTTGTTTTAGTGAAAATCTCTGGTTCTCTCCGTGGACGTAGGCATTGAGGCCGAACCACGTAAATCTTATGTCCATTATTGTGTGTTTGATTTCTAATAGTTCAGGTGGTTTGGCCTTATAACCCAACAAGAATTAGTATCAAAAAAGGAAAAGAAAAGTGCGAAATAAAACTTCAAACACAATGAAGAAAACAGGTTTGTTATTGCAGTTTTTATGTTTACACTACCAAAACTAAACCATCATAGCTGCAACTTGCAAATGCACCAAAATGTGCAGGGCATCCTTCCTATGAGTCCACAAATTTAGTAGTTTCATAACCTATTTATACCAACAAACTTTAGCAGAAAGGGATTATTAACAACAACTGAGATTCTCTTGAAAGAGGTAACCACACCAACCTTGAATAAAGTGCAATGGTCTAATGATTGTCAACAATTAAAAGAAAATATCACATCATAATTCAGAGATGGTCCACCAGTTTTTTGTCATATAGAGGAAGACTGCAACTTTTCAAAGTGGGTGTGGTTTCAAATCAATAAAGAGTTGGATTGATGCTCATCTCACCATAAAGGTGCCAAAAGAAAAGAAATTGAAAGCATGACAAGAGTCTTTCACTCATCACTGGTTTAGTGATATGTAACTTTTAATCAGCTAGATCCATAGAGTACTGATTTTCTAATGCTCTGTTTGGTTGGGGGATTGGGGAGGGATTTGGAAAAGGAAAGGAAAAAGGTGTGTAAAATTAGGTAAAATGTAGGTACATTTTATTCACATTTCACCTAACTTTTCTCTTTCCCTTTCCAAATCCCTCCTCAAATCCTCCAACCAAACATAGCGTAAATGTATTTGAATTCGGTTGTAGAGTCCGAAATTCACTAAAAAGTTTTAAATTATATGAGACTAAAATTTTTATAATTTGCTAATAAATGGAGTTGTAAAAAATTTAAAAAAGGTATGTATAACAAGCTTTCTGCCTCTCTGTATTCTCTTCCTATCTTTCAATTCTTAAAATTTATTTGCCATAGAAAGAAAAAGAAAAGAAAAAGAAAAGAAAAGCATAGATTGAGGTGCATAAAAATCAGATAATATCATCAACAATCAAGATTTCTAAAATAAAACTGGAAAATACATGTGTCCAAGTAGTCTACTAGTGGAATAAACCAGTGATGATCATTGACAAACACAATTACTCTATAATTTACTGCAGATTTTGACTGGTGAGTGCTTGCACAGATCTTGATAATGGCGTTCGAATTCAATCATGTCTTCTTCATTCAATGTCACCCACGCTTCAATTCCATCTCCACATTTGTTATCCAACAAGAAAACCAGTTCCACAAACTTAGACACAGTAGCAACCCAACTGGGCTTTCCCCAACCAAAATCAATGTCATAGCAATCAAACCCACACCAGCTAGTGAAACGACAGAGATCAACCTCTCTGGGCCTATCTCCACCAATCTCATTGTAATAGTCGATCAACATAGCATAAATCTCATCGCCATCCCGAGCTTTCGCAAAGACCTCCCCTGTTTTCCTTATTGAATTCCTTAGCAAACTCACCAGTTTCCCCAACTCAATCTCGCTCTCCTCTGCCATAAACAGAGCAGTCGTGTGCCCGACAAGGGTCCCGTAAGATTTTTCGGGTATAAGAAAGCGAATTCTCCCCCGCAAGCCCATGGCGAAGGAGAGCAGAGAAGGCCTCGGGTGTCCGTGTTTCGCTCGAGCGATGCGAATAAGAGTCCTCCATATATATGCTGTCAAAACCTGAACCTTCGAGGGTTGGCGCCCGAGATGTGGGTGAGTTGCTTCTGCTTTCAGGGCATAGATTGTAACACCGTCGAATAAGAAGCTCTTTGTGACGAGCTTCTTGTTCGCCACAGTGTTGCTAGATTGCTCAGGTTTGAGCCCTACTAGCACTCTTCCTGGGAAGAGAGAAGCCAACTCGAAACTCGGGTAATAAATTGGTTGATTGAGCGGTTTACGGGTTGTATCAGCCCATTCTTGTAGGAATGTGAGAAGAGAGACTCCATCACCCATAGAGTGCAAAATCCTAATACCCAACGCAATTCCACCGCATTGGAACATATTGATCTGGATAGCTAGTACTGGACGCAGTACTGGCCGAACCAGATCAATTATGCTGGGTACGAAAGTATCTAGCAATCGGGTTTCAGGTCGTCCATGGACAATCTCCGAGAGGTGTCCGTTGACCCGTGCTCGGGACACTTCAACCCCTTGGTCACCGCAATCGACTGAGAAATCGGGTTTGGAATATCGACCCGCCAGCGGGTAAAACCGGGTTAAGGTTTTGGAGAGTGAATTCTCCAACTGATCGCACAGTCTTGGATTATGATCAGTGTCTTGTTGGCCATCGGAAAGGAAGAAGAAGAGGATGCCGAAATGGATTGGAGAAGCTAACTGGTCGATGAAGGAGAGCTTGTAGTTTTTGAGGTGAAGTGGAGTTGGGATTGATGGTTTTACCAGGTTGGTGGACTGGATTTCAACCTTCATTGTTGTTAAATTAATGGACAATTTGGTAGCTCTGGACTGGGACGAGATTGCAATTGATGTGTTCTCCGGACAACCTGTGCTGTGGCTTTAAATTTATGCTTGTTTGATTGCGGGGTGGTTGGTTAAATAAGGCTTATTTTGAGAAGATGGTAGAGAGTGATTTTTTGACTTTTAATTAAATTTTTGATTTTTTTAGATAAATGATTTAGAAAGTTGGTAAAAAGTGACTTTTGATTTTTTTTTATTAATGTTTGTTTTTGATGTTAAATCATAATAAAATGACCAAATTACTCTTATTTATTTAAAATATTTACGACTTCACCTGTGTAACACATTTTGACCCATGAGGGTAAAATTATAATTTCACCGTTGGCTAAAAATCAACTTTTCAAATGAAAAAAAAGACAAAAAAATCAACTTTTTACTTTTACTACAAATTAAAAAAAAAAAACTCTTAATCAACTTCTCAAAATAGTCGTAAATAATGGTGATTATTAGGGGTACGGCGTGGGTAGGTGCTGTCACAGCACCATGCTGTGACAGCAAACGGGGTCGTTTAATTTATTTATAAAAAAAAAAAAAAAAAATTGAATTACACCGAGAACGGAACGGCCTCCTTTGGTGTAGAAGAGCATTTAGATTTAGGTTGATTTTTGCAAAAGCTTTAAAAATAAATAAATAAATAAATAATTGAATCACACAGGGTTCTGTAACTATACATATATTTTTTTATTTTGTCATAATTTAATTTAATTCAACCCATTATAATTGTTATTTTTTTTTATTTATGAAAAATATACATATAAGCTATATGTATCACATAAGGACAAATTTTATTATTTTACTAAGTTAACGTCAACCAACTTATTAATTATTTTTTGTCAAAAATTCAAATGTCATTATCAATTAAACAAAATTGACACAAAAATTTAAAAAATTAAGGATCAAAATTGAGCCCATTGGAAGTGTAAGGGCCAGTACGATAAAAGTGACAAAATTTAGAAACTACCGATTTAATTTACTTTAAATTTTAAAAGAAAGTCAATGTTAAAATATAAACACTTAAAACAAATGGTATTCAATTATATAACCTGTAATAACAATATAATACAAAAAGTACATGTAGCTACCATATATATATATATATATATAATTGTAACAACTAAATTAAATCAAAAATAAAAAAATAAAGTTGAATTTAAATTGTGAACCAACTAACAAATTCAATATTCAATATCATTGTAAATCTAATTCCTTCACATACCAAATCATCTAAAATTTAAATTTCAAAATCATTAAAATGAATAAACAATAATATGATCGAGCCCAATATTTCTAGAAAGTAAAAAATTACAGCAATGATAAGGCAATTGTTATATGTTAATCAAATGTCATCTCTTTTAAATTTGTGGGGGTTGGTTGTGAATTGCTAGAGAAATTAACAAATTCATCATTGTCCAAACATGACGAAGCCTCTATAGGAGTTTGCATTGTTGGATCAACTGAAATTTCATGGAAGAAGATTGTATATAAGCAAATGTATATAGAATAAAATTTATTGACTATTTTTTATTTTCAAATGTAAGTATATTAAATACCTGGGAAATTGGTGGACTATATGATACTTGGGAAGACAAAAGCACCGACTGTGGTTGTGATGGTCGACAATTAACATCATGCGTGAAAAGATTATACCCACAATTCGTCATTTGTGACCAATAAGGTGTATGAACATCCTAAATAATTATAAGCAAATACAATGTGTCATTATCATTACATTTGCACCATATATTGTAAATAAAAATAAAAGAAAAACTCACATGTGGTTGGTTTGAAGATGAATTTTGGACATCTATATTGTTGTTGCATTGGTCAATATTCTACGGATGTTATGAAGTATTTATAAGTACATTGCACAAAGTAAGATAAATAAATAAAAATATAAAATATAAAAATTACTTAGCTAAATAAGATTAATACCTGAGTGATGGAAGGTCGTGAAACAACTTTTGTCCTCTTTCCAATTTTTTCATGCCAAGGCTTTAATCTACCACCACTCTTTTGTACATTGTCTTTCTTTTTCAAACCCTTAACTCTTTCAAAATTTGGATCAATATCATTTAATCCCATGTCAATGGAGCCTCCACTACTTGAAGCATTTGGGCTATTTTGTCAAATGATCATATTGTCCACTTTTACACACAAATCAGAAATACTATTGTCCACAAACTCATATACGGTATCATATTCAGATGATCGAGCTGCTAATTTTACCATTCTAGGACAAAGATGTCTATAACGCGCTGATATCACCAACTTGGGATCAACCTCATTCACTATAACTTTTTTGTCTTTAGATGAACAATCCTTTGCATCTAGTCTCCATCGCACTAGTATATATCTATCAGAAATTTCCATAACATCCATCTGATGGAGCACTTTAATCGCATGACCACACAAAATTCCAAAACTCTCAAATTTTCGACAAGTACAACGAACATTTTGTAGAGTTTTGCCTCCTAAACTATCAAATTCCATTGCACCCATCACAATATACTCTCTATCTTCTCCATACAAACCAATAACATATTTAATTTCTCCTTCTAACTCACAGCATTTCCTTACTTGACAAGAAAGAGACTTGTCAAACTCGCCATGGAATAAGTCAAAGATAGGAGAGGTATATAGTTTCGCTGTTTGAACTAACATGGGACAACTCTTGATTTTTATTCTTGGTAACTTTTGTCTAGATTGATAAATAGCATAACTTTCATTATACCGCTTGTCTAAAACAACTGGATCGAAATGTGTAAAGAATTGAACAATATTATGGTCAGATTTTAAGTGTTTTTTTTAATTTTGCATTCAAGCTCTCACTGAGTTGGGTGCTTTGCATACCTACATTAAATGACCATTTCATGTACACATGTGCCCACTTCTCTCTAAGTTCCCAAGTTTTCTTCATCCATGTATTCTCCTCCAAGTTGTATTTAATAATCAAAGATTTCCAAGCTTTAACTAACTCGTTTTCATCTTCATATCCGAAAATGCAAGCTTTAAAGTCACTTCCAAATGTTGAGCTGCCCTTGTACAAATAGTCCATATGCTTCAAGGCATTTTGCATTAGGTAAAAAGTACACAATCCATGAGTAACATCAGACATGATATAAGAAATTTCCTTAGCCATTGCTTGATCTTGGTCTATAAAATAGTACTGGGCTTTTTTCCCGACATTGCATGCAAGAAAGTTTCAAATAACCACGCAAATGATGCTGTGGTTTCATCATATAGTAAAGCGGCACCAAAAATCATTGTCATTCTAAAATGGTTAAAGCTAGTAAAAAGAGCAAATGTTCGATACTCTTTGTTTGTTCGAAATGTTGTGTCAAATGAAACAGCATCCCCAAAATTTTCGTAATCTATAATCATCTGATGGTCAGCCCAAAAAATATTGGTTATCATTTCATCAACATCCAATTGAACTGCATAGTAAAAATATGGATTATTAGCAGCTTGCTTTTGAAAATATCTCAACAAAGTACCTGCTTTACCATATTGCAAGTCTCTCTGTCTTTTTATACGCAAGTAGCTCTTTTGGTCTTCTCGCGTGAATCCTACAAATTCCTTCCCGCCTGCTTGAGTACTAATGAGATCATGTGATGCTTTGAGTGATAAACCAGTAGCATCAGCTAATTCCATATTTATACCTTGAGCTTCAGAAACCTTTCTTTGAGATGGCATCATATGAGCACATTGAGGAAGATGCATAATATGGTTATGGGTATCATCAAACTTTGTAACAACCCATTTTGATAATTCCCGATCTAAAGAGACATACATGAATGCTTTACAATTAGTTCTTGTGTCTTGTCGAGGTTGTTTTACCATTTCACTTCGTTTATCTTTTTCTCCTTGTTTACAGCAAACAAACTTTCTATTAACCATTATACCATCTTTCTTGCTTTTCGTATGGTAATCTCTTCTAATACTAAATCCCATAATTTTTCCATATTTATTGTAGAATTGATATGCAATTTCCTCTGACTCAAACTCAGTTCCAAGACTTGGTGTGTGCTCTTTTAACAATCTAGCATTATCTTCTATACTCCTTTCAAGTCCATCAACCTCCATTAATAACGATAAGCTGATAATAAAATAAAAAGAGAAGTGTTAAAAAGTGGTACAAATGAATATATACAAAAATTAATTCGACTTTTTTCTTCAAAAGCAAGATAATTGTTAAAAAGTTGTACAAATGAAGCTAACAACATAATGAACGAATTGCTATTATTTTTCATAATTAATTAAAATAAGCTCTATAATTAATTGTCGCTTTAACTATTCACTAATTTTTAGCCATTCCTTATAATAATATAAATATATGCACAAGTTGATTCATTACTTTTTATGCAAGTAATTAACATTTTTTTTTGGGAAGAAGTAATTAACAAATTGAATGAACTTCAAACCTAGCAAAAACAAGCTCAATTTTCACACACAAAAAAAAAATAAAAATAAAATCAAGATTTGCCTTCAAACCAACAATTTCACATCTATTTTTTGTTTTTCCTTTTTCCTTTGACTACAAGCATCACTATCACAATATAAACATGTACGATATATAGAAAAATGTTATAAGGCACATCACTTTTGGATTATAACTTATTATAGTATTAAATTATAACTTGGTTATGATCAGTGACGAAATTAGGAGAAGACCATGGAAGGTCATGGCTCCCTATTTCTATGAAAAATATTGTTTGTCATAGCACTTTAAAAATATATATATCAATTTATACATAAAAGGACCCCCAATATAAAAAATATATATTTCATTATTCTCTCAACTTGTATTATCTTTCTATTTTGCACAAAAAAAAATTTCTTCATCCAATTAGAGATTGCTTCTATGGTATTTAATTTTTTTTTATGTATATATATAATTTATATATCATATTCTATATACATGTGTGTTTGTGTATATGGTGAAAAAAAATTATTTATCTTTTGACCTCTCCGAAAATGAAATCTTGATTCCATCCCTAATTATCACTCATTGTGATATTAATTGTGACTTATTTTGATTATTATTTTAATTATAATTGAAAAGGTTATGTGATCTTTGATTATGATTAATAATTATTATTTTTAGTTATGACATTTATATTTGCATATAGGGTGTGGATTCTATAATAACATACACATATATAAATTATACATACACATACATACATATATATATATATATATACATAAACAATCTATAATACCTGAAATAAGAGAGTGATTGAGCATGAAATGGTGTTATGAGTGAGGATTAGTGATGGAGCCTGATGATGAATTTCTATGACAATGGTAAAAAAACCTTCTTCGTAGATAAGTTTCTTCTTTTTTTTCTAAAGTGAACCCTAAATATAAAATTATAATTTTATACTAAACAAAAAAACGTGGTCACAGGCCCTTTCTTTCTTTTTATTTATTTTTATTTGTTTTAACCTATTCCTAAAGTCAACCTAAACCTAATGTTATTTAGCGGCAAAAGAGGCGCCGTTGCGTGTGATTTAAACTTGTGTTTTTTTTAAAAAAAATAAATTAAACGACCCCGTTTTGCTGTCACAGCACGGCGCTGTGACAACACCTACCCCATTTCGGATTATTATGGCCTATTTTGGTAACGTAGTTAAAAATCAATTTTTTGACTTTTTAATTTTTTTGAAAATATTATCTCTTTGTTTTTTTTATACATTTTTAAAAAATTAAAAAAAGTCGAAAATTTGTCTTTTAACTTACTTTCCAAAATATTCTTATATAATTATTATTGTGGTGATATTAAAATATGTACAATGTTAAACCGTTACTGTTAAAGTTAAAGTGTGTTAGGCCTCTTTTAGGTAAATAATAATAATTAATAAATAATTTATTAATTTATTTAAATTACATCATTTTTTTTCAATTTTTTTTAATATTTTTTCCTAATAAATACATAAAAATAATTTGTAAGTCATACCTAAAACAGTTTTGTCATGAATCAATATCAATGTGAAATTCATGTCAGCATTTCAATACCAATATGAAATCCATGTCAGGATTTTAGGCATGGAGAAATTATTTTCTACTCCTAGAACAAATACATGTGGTGCTCTTAGCTGGGGGTGTTTGGAAAGTAAATTATTTTCTACTCCTAGGACAAATACACCAAAAGTTTTGTTTTGTAATACCATGAGTTTTCTACTCCTAGGACAAATACACCAAAATATGTGTGTGTGTTTTATTCGTCCCTGTCTCGCTGGATGTGCTCATACGCCGTCTGGTAAGATCCATTTTCTCTTATTTTACTATCTGCTTTACAGTTGCTTACATTGAGAACAATGTTGTATTCCAATTGAGGGGTGAGAGTATTTATAAAAACAATTCATGTTTATACTTACTGTACTTGATTGCACCACTTCACTTGATGTTTACTTTGTACTAGTATGGTAGTGATATAAGTATATGTTAATTGGGAAACATAGTGGACTTGTATGAAAATGGTTTATTGGATAAATATTCACATGCGATGTTTGCATTAGGAGAGTTGTTTGTGTTTGCAGTATTAGTACACTTGTCATGCGTATGCCTTGATTCATATGAACACATTTTCATAGCGGTAACCTCTCTATTCTAATCCCTGGTATACAATATAGATAATTGCTAGTGTTGTAAAAAAGAATAAATGAGTAGTCTTGATTCTTACAAAAAAAAAAACCATTTGACTTGTTTGGGTTTGTAGTCTTTTTAACTCGAGTTATTAAGCCCGTAGGGGTGTCTTTACACCTAGTGCCCTAAAACTATCTGGTTTGGGAGTCATTGGCCCAATACTTGCTACATGGGTTAATTAGAAAGTTTAAGGGACCTAGACATTGCACAGTTGAAAAAAAAAATAAAGACTTGTTCAGGTTCATAGCTTTTTCAGCTCAAGTTATTAAGCCCGTAGGGGTGTCTTCACACCTAGTGCCCTAAAATCGCCTGGTTTGGGAGTCATTGGCCCAATGCTTGTTACATGGGTTGATTAGAAAATTTAATGGATCAGGACATTGCACAGTCTTGGAAAAAAAAAAAAATTGATGAGAATCTTGGTTGCAAAAGTTTAAGCCTTGTTTGATTTATGTTTCAAAATCAATTTTTGAGAGAAAAAAAGTACAAAAATGTGTTTGGTAAAAAAACCTTTGAAATATTCTCTGAAGACTCATCTCAGAGTCTAGCTTAAGATGGTTTCCAAGACAATTGTGGGCATCTTCTGTCATTCACTTCTCTCTCTCTCAAAAGAACCTTTTTACCTCCATCTCTCTGATACAAAAAATCCTTCATCAACAGTCCAACAACTTTCTCTCAGCTGTGTCAAGGAAGACAATTCACACCAGTAGGCCAAGATCTGTACTTGCCCAAGAGCCTTCGAAGAGACCAACTTGTCTCACCTCCATCAGTTCGCTGATGAAGATTTGAGAAATCTTGCGCCATAGATGCACCGACCCTGTCTCTCACCTTCTTCATCTCTGTGTCGCACAGGTTTGAGGCAATATGGGGGATCTACTCGTACGAGTCCTCTTTGAGCAGCCACAACTTGTCTCCCTCATAGATTTCCCCAAATCTTGCCCTAGCTTTTGTCTCAGTGAAACAGAGTTAAATCTTCACACAATCTTGACTTGTAACATCAATGTCCATCATGTTTTTGTTGTGGGCTCTATAAAATGCAAACCAACCAGCTTCAAACCCCACCAAGACGAAGTACAACGGCATCCTTCGCTGCAAAAATGGAGAGGCTGTGCTCAGGTCTTCGTTGTGGACGGTGGGATTTGAGGGCCACCAAAACTAGGCAAGCAAAAGGTACAATTTGTGTTGAACGAATAATTTTTTTTTTTAAATTTCATTTTGTACTTGAGTTTTGAAAAATCTGTCCACTGATTTTTGTTTACAAAGTTCCCAAAGCTTATCTTTTCTTCATTGCCTTTGGGTTTGTCAAATTGTGGTGAAATTTCCCAATCGGTAATTTTTCGAAAATATTTAGAAGGACTGTTTGGTTTTTTTCTCAAGCTGAACATTGTTGGACTGTTTCTCTATCGCCATTTTATCAGTTATGTTAATTCACTTGGTGCAAAAAACTTCATCTGAATTTGCAGTACTTGTGGTAACTGAAGTGGTCGAATTATATTGGAAACCATGTTCAACTGATTATTATTTGAAGTATAATGCAAGATTGTGTAGTTACTTGTTTCATTAAATGGATATTGTTATGAGGCAGAATTTTGAACAATGATGGCAGATTGTGTAGTTACTTGTAGCTATTAAACAATGATGGCAAAATTTTGCCTGAACAAATTTAGGCTTGTTGCAATTAAACAAATTTTCTTTTTTTACTTTCTTTGTTGCCTGTTGTTATGAGGTAATGTCACACTTTTTGAAGCTATTAAACAATGATGGTAGAAATGTGCTCGAACAAATTTGGAAGCAAGCAATTAAACAAATTGGCTTGAACATGATTTTCTTTCTCCAAATCATTCTTTTTGAACATTTAATTAAGTTTTCAACTCCTTTACTTCATAAATGCCTTTGGTGCGTATATACATTTTATCGATCATACGGATGATTAATGTTGGATGTTCTGGTTAATGTTTTTTTTTTTTTGTGGTAATAATTGAATCATACACGCTTTTGTTTTTGCCTTCTTTCCATGATTGGTTTAAAAAAAATGCCTAACTACACCTAAGGTAATCTGGAGTTTATCTACTTGTGGAGTTTGTATATGACATTATGCAAAAATATTTGTAGTTATTTTGTTTAAAGGCAAAAAGTTTAGAATGGCCAACAAAAAGAAAACAAAAGAAAAAACTTAACTGGAAAATATAATGAGCAATGACAATCCAATGAACTTCTCTGCAACCGTGTATTTGGTTGAAGAAAACTATTCGTAAAATAAAATGTCAAATTATATACATAATTAATTAGCCAAGTTGACATGTTCATTGTTGTTGTAGTTGTCCACTGTATGGACATACAGGAGGAAGCTGAAAGAGCAGAAACTAATCATACAACTCAATTATTTAAACTATTTCTTTGCAATGTTTTAGGCCAACGAAGTACTCCTCGGTCATTGT